TTTGAGCCAAAATCCTTGTCTCAAAAGCTCCATCTACAGTTATCTACCATTTACATATTCCTATTCCGATAAGTAGCAAAACTGCTCTGATACATGTAATTTTCCTATTCCCAAAAGTTAGTCAAATGGAGATTAAACGGCACCGTTTCTTATGCCTTTTTAAATTGATTTTGATTTTCTTTATGATTAATTATCAAATAGTCCCTATATTCAGGAAATAAATTTATTCTAATTCATTAATTTTTCATTGTTAATTTAAACCTTAATATTTTAACACACCTTAATATTTTAACACTAAACTCTAGAAAATCTAAATTCTAACCTTAATAATAGTTGGTTGTCATATTTGGAAATATTTGTTTATAAACTGATTTTAATTTTTTAAATAATAAATATTAATAATTTTATCAATTATCAATTATTTTTAATAATTAAATTAAGATAAAAATGTAACAATTTTAACAATCTTAATAAATTTAATAGTAGACATAATCTTAGCCAATAACATGGGTTAGGTTTCTCTATAACTTTTTTGGTATTTGATGTTCAAATACTTTTTGTATTTTTGAACTTCGGGAATTGAGAAAAGGGAAAAAGGAATTGAGAACAAGGGCCATTGAACCCTAATTGTGTGTGTGAAACTTTGATAAAACCTACTTTAGCCCTCTACTTCAATAAGTTTATAAGCTTTAATCCCTCATTTTATAGTATAATACTTTTAACTCATTGTCATATATTATGACATTTGTAATCTCTTACCTATACAAATTGAAGAAAATAACCCTTATTTAATGTCATATTAGCTGACTGTTAGTATTTTATTATAGAAAATATGAAATTTAAATTCAATTTTATTTATTAGTTTTGTTAACGAAATGCTAACAATCAACTAATAGAGTTAACAGTCAACTAACAAAACTAATAATCAAATAACAAAATTAACAATCAACTAATAAAACTAATAAAATATTATAATCTGACATTAAATAAATGTTATTTTCTTCAATTCATATAAATAAAAAATTAAAAATATCATAATATAAGATGAATGATTAAAACCTACAAATTTATTAAAATAAATAACTAAAAGTAAGCTTTTGCCGAAACCATAGGAGCCGCTAACAAGGTTCATGATATTCAAACACTTCCAATTGGCCAGTATGTACAAATTTTCATTTTTACTATCTCTAATGATGATATTTATTAATTTAGAGATGGCAAAAAATTAGTTTTTTAATAATAAAAAGATAAATTGATTAAAGAAGTTTGAATAACTTTACAATTTATAATATCAAAATATTTTAATTTTTAATTTAAAATGTCATAACGGATCAACATTTAAAAAACGAGTCTTCCTAAATTGAAGAGAATGATGAGATTGAAAAAGGATTGCTTGGTTGAAAACTATAGAACCACGTATGAATGTAATGACTGAAATCAATATCTGAATGCTATCAGTTTAAGAGGTGTTTGGTTTGGAGTTTCATTACCAATTATCAGATGTACTAATAATTTATTGATTTAAGTAAAATAAATTTGATTTTTAAAAAAATAAGATTTGAAAGTTGAATTTTGTAAACAGAAAAATAAATGCTAGGAGAATTTTTTCTTTTATGAAATTTAACGCAACTTAATTTCAAATTAATTGGAATTTGATGTGATTTTCAGATATTAAAGAATTAATAAAAAATAATTATCAATTATTGATTTTAATTAAATAAATTTAATACTTTTAATTATAAACAATAATAATTATCAATTGTTAATATCAATTATCAATTATATTTAAATAATTAATTCAAACCCCACTAAAATACAGGTATCATGGCAGCTTAAATACCACATTGAGTAGGATGAAAAAAAAAAAAAAAAGGGGGAAAAAAAAATCTTTATTATAATTCAAAGAATTTCCAAATGTAAAAAAGAAAAAAAAAATATGGACCTTTGGAGCAAAAGCTAACGTGGAAGCATCTGATTCCACAATATCCCGAATGGTGCCATTGGGTGAGGATTCTTGACAGCCTCAAAAAATTATCCAGAATCTGTTTTTGATAAAAATTGGTGGATAAGAATCTCCAGTGGATGTCAAACGCAACCACACTCCCGCTACACTCCAAACCCAACTCCCACTTGACTACTTCATGTTCTGCACAATGTACAAACCATGCGGCAACCCCTTCCCTCCCTCCACACCAGGTATTGCTGCATTTCTTACTCTGAGTTCTTGTTTTTGCTGAAAGTTCACAATTGCCTTGTTCATCTCTCTTTGGGATTTAATTTCAGCAATAGGCATAGAGGTATATAGTTTTCGATCATCATGTTTATGGGGTTGAATTCCAGGTGTGTTTTTCTGGTTTCCATATACGTGGTGGTAGCAATGGCAATGATTTTCTATTTCACGAAGGCAGGGAAGGTGTTGTATTAGACAGGGAGAAACAGGACAGAAAATTTGGATAGTTTGGCTAAGAAAGGGTCCATACTGTTTTTATGGGTAAGCATCAAGAAGGGACAACCATGAACAAGAAACTGGCAGAAGCATCCCAGCTCGTGGTATAATTACTTCCACTTGTATTTATTTGCATTTCTATTTGATGAATTCTATGATTATCCCTTAAAAGTAGGAAAAATGTAAAGTTCAATTCTTTTGGTCTTTTTGACGCTCATATCTAGATATTGGTTGTAGTCATTGTATGTGCATTGATGGTCAAGTTATGATAATTTTGAATGTTACAGGGGTCAAATGTACATCAGAAGCACCAATTCTATCCAGTTGCTTCCACAGATTCAGGAAGTAAATCCCAAACTTACTGTCATGTATGTTTTGGAAACAATACTTGTCAGATTGTTCGTTCAAGAACGAAACTGATGAATATTCTGATTGAAAGGGGGAAGCCCCATGAAGCTGATTCTGTTTTTAAGAGTTTAATAGAAGGAGGACACAAGCCAACTATTATAACATACACGGCTCTTGTTGCTGTCTTGACCCATCAGAAACGTTACAAGTCCATAGTTTCAGTCATTTCCAAAGTGGAAAAGAATGGTTTGAAGCCTGATTCCATCCTCTTCAATGCTGTGATCAATGCCTTTTCTGAATCTGGAAATATGAATGAAGCCATGAAAATTTTTCAAGAAATGAAGAAGAATGGATGCAAGCCTATAACCAGTACTTTTAATACTCTTATTAAAGGGTATGCAAATATTGGTAAGGCTGAAGAATCTTTGAAGCTACTAGAGTTAATGTCTCAGGAGAAAAACGTTCAACCTAACGACAGGACATATAATATTCTGGTTAGGGCATGGTGTAGCAGAAAGAATATAAAAGAAGCATGGAATGTGGTGTATAAAATGGTGGCATCTGGTATCAATCCTGATGTTGTCACATATAACACAATAGCAAGAGCGTATGCTCAGGCTGGGGAGACATATAGGGCTGAACAGATGATGCCTGAGATGCAAGATAACCAAGTGGCACCCAATGAACGTACATGTGGTATCATTGTGAATGGATATTGTAAAGAAGGCAATATGGTAGATGCCTTGAGGTTTGTCTATGGGATGAAGGAGCTACGGGTGCAGCCAAATCTTGTTCTTTTCAACTCTCTAATCAAAGGGTTTCTAGATGTTACTGATGGTGGAGTTGAAGAGGTGAGTTTTATCTCATGATGCTCATTTAATTGAAAATTCTTTATCTTTGCTATTGATATTATTTGCAATTTCAAAAGGCTACAGGCCAAAACCATTCACTAGGTTACAATGAAAAAATAAATAAATATCTAAATCAAAAGGATCTCTTGTTATTTCAAGGCTTGCTAGTGGTTGAAACCTGTTGATATATTGGTGGAGGATTATAGCTTCTGAATTTCCAGGAGAGAAAACCTGGTTCATTTTTATCATTTGTTAATGGATACCATTTGGTCTTCAAACATAGACATTTGAACCATAATTTTGCAAGTTCTACATCTATTGGGTAGAAACTCTTTGTTCTGTCACAGTATTAACAAGATCAATTCATCTAAAATAAGAAGCAAATTCTAATTCATGTTTCATATATATATATATATATATATATTTATGTAAAGCTTGTATAGCCCTTTAACGCAGCACTTTTTTTCATTCTTAAGAATTGTGTACCAACAATAAGCATAAATTGAACAGGCACTGACATTGATGGAAGAATTTGGGATCAAACCAGATGTTATAACATTCAGCACTATCATGAACTCATGGAGCTCTGCAGGGCTTATGGACAGATGCCAGGAGATCTTTGATGACATGGTGAATGCTGGGATAGAACCTGATATCCATGCATTTAGCATTCTTGCAAAAGGCTATATTCGTGCTGGAGAACCACACAAGGCTGAGTCACTACTAAATTCCATGGGCAAATTTGGTGTACGTCCAAATGTTGTAATCTTCACCACCATCATCAGTGGATGGTGTACTGCAGGAAAAATGGAGCATGCGATTAGAGTTCATGAGAAAATGTGTAAACTTGGCATTTCTCCCAACTTGACCACTTACGAGACCTTGGTATGGGGATATGGGGAAGCAAAACAGCCTTGGAAAGCAGAAGAACTGATGCATATTATGAAAGAGAAGGGTATCTATCCTAGGAGGAAAACTATCCAACTTATTGCTGATGCCTGGCGTTCCATTGGTTTAATGAGTGAAGCAAAGAGAATTACTGGAAATACATACGAGGAAATGACATCAAATAAGTTGGATGAGAATGAGATGCCCAAGGGTAGCTTGGAGAAGATTTTTAAGAAACAAAATCTCAGAGCTTCACTTTCTAATCATTTGCATATACCTGGAGTTGCTAAGAAGACTGACCAAAAAGGGTCATCATCTACAGCTAATATAAGAAGCCAAATAGTAAGGGAGATATACCAGTCTTCATCAAAAACTATTAGGACTTCTGGAAAATTCAAGTTTCTCTCTAGTACAAGTGTGCTTGGAATGCAACAGCAGACTATATGCAGGAAGCAGTTAGAAAGTCCAAAAATGATATACGGGCCATCTGTGAGTTTTTGCAGAGTGGTCTGCATAATCTGATACAGACTACAGAAACATGAGGTGATCGTATTGCTGAATTTAATAGGCACCCTGGATTTCTGAAGTGCTGGTGAAGTGGTGATCATTTCTTCATCCAATATGTAGATATTGGAGCTGTATTTCAACATACACTTTTGGTTCCATCGGTTCATTGATTATACAATTGATTTGTAGCAAATTATGTGCCTGACTATAATTTTATGTACACAGTGTTGATCATCAACACAAGATGCTGTCAATTTGTTCATGCCTACATTAACACACTCTTTGTTCTGATAAGAGGATCCGTCTTTTAGGCATACATTATTATACGCTTTTCCTTGGATGAAATTTTTTCGTTTTTTTCCTTTCACTTTCTTGAAAAAACATTGGGAGATAAAAACTCATAAAACACTTCAGTTGTCAAAAGCAATGTTGTTTGAGACCCACTGATATGATATTCACTAACTGCAATCATTTAGCCACACCATTTCCTTTTCTCATGACAAGTAATGAGGGGGATAGATGGATTTAGGTTTAATGTTTTGGTTTACACCAAATCTGATTTAAAAAAAAAGAGGAAAAAACAAAATCAAAAACAATTAGTAGAGTGCAAATGCACTACTGTCTCTCTTCATTGGCTAAAATTTTATTTTTTTTATCTTAAAAATAAAATTATCTTGGCCAATGGGAAGAAGAGGAGTATGGCTGCAAAATCGATAGTTTTTCAAAATATCTAGAGTACGTCTGATTCAAGGAAAATAAAAAGAAAGGAAGGAAGAGTATAGGAAAAGTATTTTGTAAGTTGTTTTTTTAAGTTGTTTTTTTAAATTTTTTTTAGAAGAT